TTTCCTCTTCTTTTTTCCTTGATAGCTTCTTTCAATCTATCTAATAAAGAAGCGTAGTACTGCCCCGTTATAGTCACACCACGATCTTTATAATTGATCAGCAAAATACCTTCTGTATTCCAAAAGACAGTCGCCATGATCTTTCCGGCCGATTGTGACACTTTAAACTTCTTTGGAGGAGCTGTGCCTTTTTTATGCCACTGTATCGATTCTTGCTTCGATTCAGGTTCATAGTGGTGAACCTAGGTTTCGTCACCAGTAAAAATCCGGTCCATAACTTCGTCCTTATTCTCTCCACAGAGCTTCAAAAACTGGCGAGAACACTCGACACAATCGCTCTTTTGAAGTGGCGTGAGCATTCTTGGAATCCATCTTGCACTGACCTTAGTCATCCCAAGATGATGATGTAGGATATTAAAAATGCTTTTTTCAGATACTCTAACCATTGCTCCAAGCCGTTTCTTCTTCAACCAGGCATCTTCCAATATAAGTTTTTCTACTTTTGCGACGATTTTCGGTGTGGTGGCCTCAATCGGTCGTCCGGAGCGGGCGTCATCTTCAATGGACTCTCTTCCTTGTTTAGAAAGTCTATGCCACTTGTAAACCATGGTTTTACCAGGGGCAGAGTCCGCGTAAACTGATAACAGATCTTCAAAAATTATCTGAGCGGATTTTCCTTGCTTGGTGAGGAACTTAATAACGGCGCGGTGTTCAATTTTCTCCATACTCACTGACTTCTTCCCGATTCACTTGTTTGCAGGTCAACAACTCAAAAGTTAATGACCCGATTTTTTTTTTTTTTTTTTTTTTTTTTTGTAATGTGTATTGCTGTTAGCCCTGCGGCTTTGACAGCGTCACCGGAAGAGTGGGCCGGTACTGGGACCGGCCCGTTAAAAGGGGCCTGAAGGACCCCAGGGAACGTACGTTCTAAGGGCACCTGCTAGTGTGAGGCTCGGACCACGAACTTAGGACGTCGTGGATTTTAGGGGGGGTTTGCCAGCGGCGGCCTCCGACGCCCTCTTGCGAGAGACGTGCGGAAGCGGGGACCTCGCTCTCGCCGGCGAGAGCGGTGGGTGTGTGTGGTGATTGTTTGTGTAGTTTCCCTACTACTATCGGACGACGCGGTGGTCCTATTCCTTATAGTGATTTCATCGTCCGGATCGATGAGAATATGTTTAGGGCGCCTCCGACAGCCCTTATGGAATTGGTTTGGGGTGTATCTGACGACTTCTTTCACCAGAGGGTTGGGATGAGTTTTGGCTCTTTCAAAGTACCTCTCGGAGAGTACTTTGAAGTGTTGCCGAATAGTGGGGAGATCGAGGTCTCTATGAAGATCTGCGTTACGCATGTACCACGGGGCACCCGTGATCGTGCGCAAGAAGCGGTTTTGTAGGGTCTGAAATGGTTTGAGATTACGGTGGGCGAATGCTACGCTACCGTAAGCCATAATTGGTCTTATGCAAGATTTGTATAACGTCATCTTATTTCTAAGTGACATTTTACTCCTCACGCATAGAAGGGGGTAGAGACGGCCGAGAACATAGGCGGCTCGGTTCCTAGCTTTTCTGATGTGGGGGCCGAAGGACATTGCATTGTCAAGCGTTACACCCAAATATTTGGTTACCTTCCGCCAGGGGATAGGTGTATCGAAAATAGATATTGGAGCCGGGATATCGATGTAACGACCCCGTTGGAAGTACACTGCTGTGCTCTTCTCGGGGTTGAGGTCTATCCTCCATTTCCGAAACCAGACGCCTAGGGCGGTGGCGGCGGTCTGGAGGCGCCTGCGGATTACATCGTTATCCCGGGTTCCAGAAGTATAAATTGCGGTGTCATCCGCGAAAAGGGCTAGGTAAGTGCCCCTTGGAGGCCTGGGTATGTCGCTGGTGAAAATGGAGTAGAGCGTAGGGGATAGCACTGATCCTTGAGGGACACCGGCTCTGATAGGTCGTAGAGACGAGAGCTCCCCTTCCACTCGGTAGCGGAAGGAACGATTCGACAGGTAGTCTCGTATGATGAGTACGAGCCTATCTGACACTTTGAATTGGTACAACTTGTATACCAAGCCATCGTGCCAGACTCTGTCGAATGCCTTCGCCACGTCGAAGAAGAGGGCTCCGCTCTTGTTCCTTTTACGAGAGTTCAAATTGAGAGAAATGTGCTCTGTTAATCGTTGCACCAGTTGGGGACAGGAGTGACGGGCTCTGAAGCCGAACTGCTCATTGGGGATTATTTCAAGTCGTTCTATCTCCGCTTTGAGGCGGGACAGAACGATCCTTTCATAGATTTTTCCTAAGTTGCTTAGGAGACTGATGGGGCGGTAACTGCTTGGGAGGTTGCTGGGTTTGCGCGGTTTAGGTATACCTATGACAGTGGCCTCTTTCCATTGGTCCGGAAATGAGCATCCGGTCAATAGAGCGTTGAACATGCATACCAGTAGGTAAATGAGGCGGGGAGGGAGGAGCTTTAAGACTTTATTGGAAATTTTATCGGGGCCAGGGGACTTCTTAACGTTAAGTCCCTTAATTATAGATGACACTTCTTCAGTGTCGGTCGGTTTGAGTGGGGGGTCCTCTGGTGGCAGAAGTAACCTATCTCGTACGACCTGCTCCACATGTCGGATGTGGGCAGGATTTGTCGGTTGCCTACTTAAGCTACACTGGCTCTCCAAGCTGTCTGCCAAGCATTCCGCTTTGTCTCGGTCGTCAAACGCGGGTATGGGGTTGTCTGGTCGAACAAGGGGAGGCATCACCGAGACATTATCCCCCTTCATCACTCTTTGCAGGGACCAGAAGGCCTGATGCGAAGGAGCGATGGAGGAGAGCTTCCTGTCCCAGTTTTCGTCTCGGAGGTCGGCGAAGGCTTGCCTCACCTGCCTCGCGAGTCGACGAAGCCTTCTCTTGTTACTTATCGTGGGGGCCGCGTCGTGAGCTCTGTTCGCGGCGTTCTTCTCATTGATAAGGTCTCGAAGATCCAGAGGGATTTCTCGTCGGCCGTTATGGCTGTCTAAGATCTCCCTCGTACATCCCTCGACCCTGTCGCTGATGAAGCTCCCTAATCCTACGCAAGCTACTTGCGCATCCTCGACCGAGGAGATGGAGTTAGGGATTTGGTCGAGGTGCGGAGAATCTAACGACTGGAGTCGCTCGGAAAGCTGTTTCCAGTCGATGATTCTCTTAGTCTGGGGTGCCGCTTCGGGGGGAGGTCCTAGCTGGATAAGGACAGGTCGATGGTCAGAGTCTAGCTCGGATAGTGTCTCAATAGAGCGCAACTGTAGAGTTACGCCCTTCAAGAGCGCTATGTCGAGTATGTTTGGTCTGTGAGTCGGTTCGAGTGGGTAGCGGGTCGGAGTCAAGGGGGCTAATATTGTGAAGTCAAAATCTGGTCTGTAGGTCAGTCGGTTGAGTATAAGACCGCTTCTATTACTACGGGACCCTGAGGGATTCCAGCTTGGGTGCTTAGCATTGAAATCGCCTGCCAGAAGGGTGGCGTTTCCCAATGAGAGTAAAGTTTTTATGTCGTTCTCGTCGATAGTGAGATTGCTGGGGCGATAAACTGAGGCAAGTATGACGGGCTGATGGCCCGTCATGCTTACCTGGCATATAGAGACTTCTAGACTATTTAAGGGTGGGGGGTCTAGGGGAACACAGTGGAGGGACCGCCTAAAATAAATGACAGTACCTCCCCCCGTGGAAGAGGTCCTGTCATTTCTTACCATATTATAATTGGCTATTTTAGGATCCCTCATACTGGGTTTGAGGAGGGATTCTTGGACCAGGAGTATGTCAACGTGGTGTTTGACTACGAAGTCGCGCACCTGTTGAATTTGACGAGCGAGACCGTAAGCGTTGAATGTGACGACACTTAGGGAGCGGGGTTTTATTCTACACCGCGTCAAAGCCATTTATGTTGATCTTGTGATGTTATAGATAGCGTTAATCATGACTGCGTGCTCTACAAACGCGTCTAGACGAGCTTTGTCGTCATTTTCACAAGCCTTGAGCTTGTTCGCAAATATGAGTAATTCGGGCGGATCGAACGCCCCGAAGTACTTGGTGAGTGAAGGCAGGGGGTTGGAGACCCCGCTGTCTTGCGCGGTTGGAGGCACGGACGCAGCCGGCGACGTGGCGACAGTTGTTTCGGCGGGTTTACTCCTAAACCAGGCATTGACCGTCGGTGCCTGGGGGGCCTGAGGGGCCTTATGTGTTTTAGGGGCCTGAGGGGCCTGAGGGGCCTGAGTGGCAGGAGCTTGAGGAGCTCTTTGGTGGCGAGCGGATTTTTTCCCTCCTCGCTTTGCCCTGCGCGGGGCTTTCGGACACCCGCGGTAGTTCGCTGGGTGGCCCGATTGCTGGCACAGGACACAGCTCGGAGGGATGTCCTCGGAGGGAGTTTTCCTTTCGCAATCGACCGTCGCGTGGTCGCCTAGGCATTTCACGCATCTCGGCCGTGCGTAACAAAACCTAGCTGAATGGCCGTAACATTGGCAGCGATGGCACTGCCCAGGGATGCCGCGGCCGCGGGGGAGCTCTACCTGTAATCCGGACAGGTAGCAGACCGTGCTTATGTTGAAGATGGCTTTAGCCTCTTTGGTGTTGTCCAAGTGGACAAGCACCATGTTAAAGGGTTTTTTATTGGTCGGGCGGTACATCCGGTGTACTGCCTGGACCGGGAAGTCTTGTGACTTAAGGTCACTTAAAATGGACTCTGTTGGGATCTCACACGGCATCCCGCGGATCACAACCGTAAGGCGGCGCTCCTCCTCTAATGCGTAAGTGTGGTATCCAATACCACGCTCCCGCAGAAGGGCTGTCATCCTACGGTGGTCATCCGCTGAGGACGTCTGTATTTTAATCCCGTCTTTAGTCGGCCGGGCTGACGTGAAATGAATTCGGAGGTCTATGAATAGTTGTGACATATGGTCCCACTTATCTTTGTCTTTTAGGTAAAGCGGCGGAGGCGCCTTATCCCGCGGTGGTGCGTCGGGAGACGCGGACGGTGAGTTGACCGCGGGTTTGGGCCGCTTCGCGACGGGCGCGGCGGGAGAGGGTGGGTTTTGTGTCCCTGAGGGGGACGAGGGGCGAGAGTTAGCGGCGGCGGCAGCGGGGGCGTTCGCGGCGTTTGAGGGGGATTGGGGGGCGGAGGTGGACGGCGTTTTAGAGGAACGCTTCCTCTTTTTCTTGGAGACGACGGTTGTAAATCCGTCGTCGGCTTCGCTCTCGGAGCTAGGCCGGGAACCAGACTCCGAGGCCGAGGCCGAAGAACACTCCATGTGGGAGTTGGGGGTGGGGACCAGGGACTCAGATATGAATCTGAGAACTAACTCGGGGGCCATCTTCCGCGCGAAGGCGGTGAAGGTGTGCGGGTCTAGGTTGGGCATGGTGACTTATTTTAAATGGGAATTCTACCAATCCTCCCTGCCAGGCGGCAGGGAGATGAGTACCTAGTTGTGTCCTACGGACTCGCCTGGTGAGGGCAAGGTGTGTGCCTACAACCTTACCTCGGGTGTGGGTACGCGGCCCTAAAGCGTCTGGCAATACGCGGCGCGCACTGGAACGGCACTACACTACACTAACACTGCACTGTAGTCTTTGCACTCGAACCACACGGCACGTGGAACAAGTGCAGGCGACGTGGCCCGGGGAGCGGACGTGCGTACACAATCCGCTGAACTCGGAGAGTGGACGTGCTAGGCACAATCCACTGACTCGGAGAGTGGACGTGCTAGGCAACAGTCCACTGACACGGGGAGCGGACGCAGCTCAGGGAGCGCGGTCCGCTGCAGGACAACGTCCGAACGCTGAGAGCGCTCGGACGGTACTGAGACGAGGGGGTCGCCGCGTCGCTGTACAGCGTGATGCGGCGAAAGGGACCGAGGTGGTCCGAGACAGTGAGTCGCTTTAATAAAAGCGACTGCTCCAGTCGAAGGTCGATGGCTGTCTCCCTGACCCGATTTGGTTCAAACTTGGTATATATACTATTAATGAGGTGTTGAACAAGTTACTACCTGGACGAGTAAATCAACCCCCTCCATCCCCTCCATTCCGCGAACTTTTTGACCTCCCCTCGTACTTAATTGAATTTAAACCTCGATATTATTTACAAGCTAACTATAAGTAACAAAACCTTAGAAAGGAACTGGTAGAAACGTTCCAGTTAATGTAAGAAGGCATAACATTCCCAACTTATATTTAGTACTACCGGAACAAACAGACAGACAGACAAAAATTATAAAAAACGATATTTCAGTGAATGTATCCTGTGTATATATTATCATACGTATTTAGTAAAGTAGTGTTATTTCAATATTACTATCAGACAATTCAATTTTATTGATAAGATTCTTAAAAAAAATATATGTTATAAAAGTATTTATAATATTCATGATGTTCTAATCAGTATGAAAAATGACGTATAAATTATTATAGTATCGCCCATTAGGGCGGTATTATATAATAGTATTATAAATGAACTTTGTAATAATCATCATTCTAAATATCCAAACTTTTCATGAATAAAAAAAACTATCATTTTTCAAACTACTATGTGTTTGATAGTCAGTTGTTAGAAGAAGAAGTTAGCAATTTAATTGGATTATTTAATAGAATCAACAGATTTCTTGAATGAATTATTATCATTGTCATGAAAATAATTTCATCTTACTAATTCGTTTACCGTGAACACTAATTATTATTATTGTTGCGGTTGGGATGTCCGAATATCGAGTTCGGAATCGTTCGCCGCTTGAGGGGTGGATCGGATCGGATGATAATTCCTCCAATAGCAGGCGGCCGGTGATCCGATCCTCGGGATCCGTGTTCGTGGCGGGTCGTATCGTCGTTTTAGAATGAAACCACAACTTGTTAGGTAATGGCGGCAGAATCACTTGGTTTGTTTGACCACGTGGTCCCTAGTCACTATCTTGAAAGCGCGGTTCTTCTTTGTTCGGGTTCTTCACTGTTCACTGTTCACTGTTCTTCAAAGCGTATGAGATGTCTTCACGAGATCAGGCTGGTGACTACTGATGATGACTACTGATAACTGATGACTGGTGATGACGACTGATGATGACAACTGACGACTGATGACGACTGACTGACTACTGACGACTGGTGATGACGACTGACTGACTACTGACGACTGGTGATGACGACTGACTGATGACTACTGATGACTACTGACTATTCGACTCACAGCCGCCGTGTTTTATATACGTTGCGCGCGCGCACCTAGTACCGCTGTGAGCCAGCGCGGATGCCCCGCCCCCCGCCAAGTGACCCTACCGCCGTTCGTTTATTGGTCAATAGGTTTATCTTAAGTTTGACAATAGTATACTGCGCTTTTGCAAGAGACGCTCATTAGGGATTTTTATTTACACGTGTTGCGCACCTGCAAGAGTCGCTTTCCTTTTATTAATTATACAATACAAATATTAGCCTAATTCCTTATTTCTTACATTTCTTATCTCTTAAATCTATTATTAACTAAACATCAGCTGCGTCGCCGACAATTATTCATCATCATCATCACCCTAGCGTTTGTCCCGGTTGTTCGTCCCGCCCAGGGCGGGAGAACCCAGGGTCCGCTTTCCCACTCAGTTTCCTCCACTTAGCCCGGTCTTCGGTATCCTTCTTGTTGAGTCCATTATTGTTTATACTAATTATTATTATTGTTTTGTTTAATTTGCACCGCATTAATGTAGAATGGATCATTATTTCCCAGAAGCCAGTCGCAATATCCAACTTTCCGATTCATCGTCGGAAGTAGATAGACGATTGCTTTTGCTGATCGTCGTCTAGACTAATTTCCTGAAATATAAAATGTATTTGTAAGTCAACTTGGTTTCGTGTATTATACATGTTTTAAACATAAATTCAGGTCATTCTTCTGTGAGATTTTACGGCACCATTAAGTAATTAAAAATTTGCTATATTGAACAGAAATATACTCTGATATTAATTATAATGAATTATTGTATAAATGTTATTTTAATTTTTATTTTTAAAAGACTTTTCAGGATTGTTTTTATTATTTTTTGCGATGTTGAAATAATAAAAAACTTAAATCCACTAAACAAACCTCCTTTGCGTCAAATAATTATATCTAAGTCATACAGGGAAGTAAAAAAATATTTACTAGACTAGAATACAAAAGAGTATTTGCATGCCAAATGGAACCATGAGTTACTGTGATATCTGGTTACAACCAAATATATATTTATGTAACTTTCTACTTGCGTTTATCATAACAGTGAAATTTCAAAAAGGGTTTTTATATTTTAGTCAGTACTTCGTGGGAAAAGAGTAAGGGAAAAGTATTGTTGTTTACTTATTATACTTTAAGTTTCCAAACATAATGTTTACTATAGTGTTTGAAATAATGAAACAAAAATTACATATATGAACCGTTAAAGTTGTATGAAGAGTTAAAAAAATATTTTCAAACCGTTAGCTTTAGTGTGGAAATATTTACGCAATAATAAAAAATATGTATACTCCCGTTGTATTATAACAATAATTATAGATTTTTAAAAGAATATATGTCTTAATAATTTAAAAGAAAATTAAAAATATTGTCCAAAATTAAGTCTAAATAGAAGAGTTATTTTGCAATAAATGAAAAATATATTTCAAAGTCAAATTTATAAGAAAAATATTTTTCCAAATACCAAGTCAAAATAGGACTTGATTCATTGTGAAAATGACAAAGGTTGGACCCAATCCCATTCACGCTCTTAGGCCGTATTGTCATTCTCTATTCAACATCCGAATAATTTGCTTTGACAATGATTATTCACAAACATTACTCAAAGTCAGCTATCACATTTGAATGTAATGGATAAGACTATTATGGATAAAATTTCTGTGAAATATTTTTGTCACAAATAAACGTTAACTAGGTTACTCCAAACAGATATCTTTAAAAAAAATTGTACTGCACTCAAAAAATATAGTACCCAAAATTAACCATTTTAACACCAGTAGCAAAATTTGTCATTATTTTTTGAATTAATTTATTTAGTACAAATATTTTTATAACCTCATTTTATTTTTAATAAAATATATGCAATTTTATACATATTTTTGTAAATATTTCAAGAGAACCTTCTTAATATTTTTTTGTATTAAATTAGATTTTTCTTATTCTTAAAGGAATATCCGTGGAAATAGAGCTTGCAAATAAAGGCAGATAGATTTTAGCGGCCCGGGGCGGTCACTTTGTCTTGATGATATTTGTCAAATGTTTTGTTAATTATTCAGTTACTTATGCCGAATCACCAATTATCACTTCATTATCAAAATGAGTGCTCGTTAGTGCAAAATGTTGCGTGCGTTGCGTCCTTTTTACCGTAGACGTGGTGGTTCTTCACAGTCGACCCTTCAACGTTTGGTGGCCAAATTTGAAATGACCAGTTTAGTAATTGATTTGGCCATACCCGCACTTTCAAGAAATACAAGATTAGCGGGGAACCTCGGCGTGGTTCGTCAAAACGTACAGCAGAAAGCGTGACAGTCGATTCCTCCACGCGCCCAAAAACTCAGTCTTCGTAAACTTCAACTTGTATAAAAAAATCTATAATCAAAATCATAAAAATGGGTATTTTTGTCGATATTTACATATTTAGGTAACACGTAAATATTACACGATATTTTTTTTATTTTATTAGTTACGAATATGACACTGCTTTATGTTCTTAAAAAATCTGTGGCACAAATGAACTGAATAAAAAACAAGTATTATTTCTCTAACTTAGATGTAAAACGTTTAAACACATAGCTTTATAGAGATGAACTCAGCAGTTTCGGGAAAAGAAACGGGGATCTACAGAATTACTTTTTTTAATGAATATAAACAAAAATAAGTAGTAATAAACTATTGGGCACTAACATACAATATAAGTCATTCAAGACCATAAATCAAATCATTTAGTTTAGTAATATAAAATTCTTGTAAATGTTCAGGTATTAATTTTTACATAGAAATCTTTGAGGAATTTCTTATAAAATATACTCTGATGAAATTTGCCTAAGCCCTCGTGGACTTTAAAGTAATAACTTGCTTTCAAAAAAATCCTTCCTTTTGATTTTTTTTTACGTTCGCTAACTTTTTGAAGGATTTTATTTTAATTATTACATTTGAATTTAAATAATGAGAGCAGGAGTGTAACAATATTATGGAAACATCGAAACACACTGAATATTTGATTACTTTCTTTGATGGAAAACCTAAGCTTTAAAACAAAATACGTGATTCATTCCTTGTCATTTTGACATACTGACACCTTTTGTTAAATATACCAAACATAAAACCTACTAAATGCTTATTTACTTATTTTCTGTTACCTAATTTTTTTAATCTGTTGGATAACCTTAAAATTATCAAAAATAGAAAAAAAATTTTCGCATTAATCAACACACGTAAGTAATAAAGTATTAAATTGGATTTT